TTTGTGATGCAATGTATTACATTTTGTTTAATTATGTTTGACAGTTTTTTTATCACATGTTTCTATAGTCATCATCTTCACTAGTAACAGAATGTGTTTATATAATGTTGCTTTATTTTCATTGCCACTGCTTGCATTTTCACCTCCCGTGACACAACCATGTTACACCAACCATCACAATTTGCACTGTCACGCCATCAACCACCCTCACACACAATAATTATCGCAAAACCGATCCCCCTCCCACAAAACAAAAATCGAAGAAAAACCTAAACACAAAAACATAAAACAAAGCAAAAAGTCAAACAGAATTTTGAAATCTATAGCAATCATAGGTTTTAGAGCTTTGAGGCTGGAGCGATCGATGGTGGTGGTTCGTAGTGATAGAAGGAGGTGTAGGAAGCAGATGACGGTGATGGTTGGAAGGTGGAGATGGTGGTAGTAGTAGGAGAAGGTGGTTATTAGCAGAGTGTAGGCGGTTGTTAGGGGTCAATGTTGATGGTGATGATTTTTGGTTCTACGGTGGTGGTTCAAGTGGTTGGTACTATTTGGGTGGAATATATTGATTTGAGTTAGGTATTTAAAGCAATATTTTATGAATAAAAAATAAGGTAAAGTAAATGTGGAATATCAAAACTAAAACGGTTGAATGGCATTGTTCCCCTAAAATTGGATTGAACAATTCTATTTGACTTAAAAATTAGCAGTCCACCCAACAAATCGTCTCACCATGTTTAAGAGAAGAATTATTGTGCTCAACCATAATTCAAGATTCTTCACGATCAATGCAAACGTAGAAATCAAAAGTTCTTGGTACCGGCAAACTTAAAAGAGTAAACTATTCAAAGACGAGATTTATTATTTGGGTAAAATAGTGTTTTGAATAGTGATTTTTTAGAGAATGTATGATTAAAAAATAGAGACAAGTTTTAAATTAACGGGTAGAATATTTTATTATATGAATGTGTGATTAAAAGTGAGTATGTAGAAAAAATAATTTTGAAATAATGGTTGTCAAACATGGACTAAATTTTGGAAAAAATAACTTTGAAATAACTGAAGAAACTGTGTTGGAACATAAAGTCTCGACAATTCGTGATCAAAATTGTCCTCATTTTTAGAAGAGTGCTAAGATTGTTAACAATTCACATATGTTTAAACCACTTCAGTTCAAGAAACATAATGAAGAAACAATAACATAAGAAAGGGGAATCAAAGATTTAAAAGAGGAAAAAAAAAAAAAAAAAGGGTTCAGAGTGGCAAGAAGATTGTCTTGAACATAAATCTATCAATTTGATATTTGAGTTCATGTATTCTTAAAAATAAATAAAATAAATAAAAATCAACTTTAATTTTTTCGAACTTCTTGTAATCGCAATCATCTTGCTATCATTTCTTAAGAGTTAACAACTTTGTAGTATTTTTCAAACTGTACATAACTATACATCGTCACTGTTTAATTTTACCATTTAGGGCCCGTTTGGTAGGGATTTTGAAAATTGATTTTTTGACCGTTAGAAGAAAAGTGGGGTCCACATGTGAGAGAAGAAGTAAAAAATTACGGCTTGAATAGTAAAATAACGATCAAAAAATCAATTTTTTGGGGCAAAAAATTCCTACCAAACGGGACCTTAGTGCATGTCTGGGGCCGATACTCGCCAAATTTTCTAACTTTTTTTTACCGTTATACACTAATCTGACAACAGTACCTTTCGACCAGATTTTGCAGAATTAATTTATACCCTTTTGACATTTGTTTGATACTCATTTTTTTCAAAATTCATTTTTCTCTCTCTTCTTTTCAACCACACATTCTTTATTAAAATAATATTACACGTAAATCAAAAAAAATTCCTTATTTTTCAACCACACACTTCCCCATCAAATTACTATTCTAAAATGCATTTTTACATAAAAATGACTTTCAAAAACCCTCTTGCACTAATTTTGAATGAAAGGCATTTTTGATAATGTAACTAATTTTGAGTCAAAATATTATGTTGGAAGGGGCCCACAAACTTTCCAACTGTCCAATTTTCCTTAAAATATGGTGAGAATCGACGTCAGACAAGGACTTACTATTCAGTTTCACTTCTAATATTTCAATTAGAAGTCTATATTTAACTTTATATTTTACACTTGTATCGATCTAAATTCAATTGGTTATTTGCATGTTTTTAGAAATAGAGACTTTACAACTAAAGTTAAGAAAGTACAACTAAGCAATTATGTCATCAAAGTCCACATAAACAGTCAAAATTCATCCAAACTAGACATGATTACATAAACTTGTTGGATAAACTTTGAGTTTTCATGCGTTAACTTTTCTAATGCATCCATTCTTTTTACTATGATTAGTCTTATGCCTGTACAATGCACAGGCTATGTTATTTTTAAGATAATGTTAGCGCGTTAAATATTAGTGAAATTATTTTGAAAGTTCAATAAATTTTCACCTAAAACTTCGGCACTTACTAATCGTTAGTATTTAGGAACACACTTGGAAATAAAATTTGTGGCTCAGTTCACTCTAATTAACATGTTTCTAAATGTTGTTGCGTTTGTGTGAGATTCTTTCAGGGATGAGGTATTCATGTACAAATGAAGGTGCATATTTCATATTTTAGTCATGGAAGTTGATACATATAAAACCACATCAATATGAACATGGAATTGGATATACACACTATCAAAATAAGTGTATGCCTAATGAAATAATTTTGTTCAACCAACCAGTATGACATGTAAAATACTTGTGGATAGATTAGATTCATGTGCTCGATAATCAATACATCTAAAATGGCAGTAACTAAATGCCAAAGATAGGAAATAAAGCTTTTTGCATAAAAGAGTACTTATAATATGGAAGATATATCTCCAAGGCATGAAAGTGGAGTCAAAAAATTGGGAAGGAGATATCAATACTTTTAAACTAATTTCAATAACAAGAAAACAGCTTGAAGCAGGTTGAACAACTACAAGAAATAGTGGCAATTGAATTTTCACTTAAGAAACATTAAATGATGAATCCTTGATCAAGTATAGATTTTGAGTCTCTCCCAAAGTAGGCATCATTAAATTTAGAAAGAAATCTCCTAAAAGCCTAATGTAATTTAAAAGAGCAATTATTTTCAAAAAATTACTTCCAATGGAACATTTTAGATGAACAACTTGCATGAATTTAATCTAACCATGTAGAAAAAATCTGAGAAAAACTCGAAACACATAAAACAAGTAATAAAACAAATAAAAATAGAGGTAAGAAAAATGCAGAAGAAGCATACGTTTGCAAAAAGAAGAGATGGAAAAACATAGAAACTCGCATAGAGTTTGTAAAAAACCCTCAACACAAAAAAATAATTGACCAAATACAGATCTCAAAATCCAAACAAATACACAAAAAACAAGTAAAAGATGGAGATAACAGAAAATCTCAGTACAATTTAGAAAATCTTAAACACAAAGAAGAGATTGATCGAAGAGAAATTGAAATACAGAAATCAAAGAAGCATACACAACAAAGGCAAGAGATAAAGTAGGATAAAGTAGAATTTTGCAAGAGGACGACGAAGAATAGGGTTGGATGAGAAATCGCCATATGAACGAAAACAACAATGTAAAAAATAACAGCTGAATACGATTATTACACTGTATCCTTTATCTTTTTTTTTTTTTTAGTGAATAGTGCTGAATCGGTCCCAATCCATTCTCATGTGAATGGTATGTCCCAAAAATGAACAGTAGAAGTGGATCCTCTCTTTTAAAATAAGTAGGATATTACACAATATTATATAAGATAATTTTAAATATCATGTAAAAGAAATCAGCTCTTTTAAATTATTTGTCTAAAGTATAGATATTGTCCACAATTCATTTCAATCATTTAGAGCTTATTTGAGAGTGATTTTTTCCCTCAAAAAATTAATTTTTTGACTGTTATTTTACTATTTCAGCAATCATATTTAACTTTTTCTCTCATATGTGAATCTTACTTTTCTCCTAACGGTCAAAAAATCAATTCTCAAAATCACTCTCAAACAGGCTCTTATTGTAGAGCATAAATTTGAATTGATGTATATTACAAGTACAATTAATGCATTCATGTTATTATATGATGGATGTTAATTAGAGTCCTCCAATACGTTGACCTCTTAGGATTTGAAATTTAAGATTCCATTTCATATTCAAATTGCAAATTATGATGATCGAATGATGTTGAAGAATTAGCAAGTGAGTTGCGATTAGAGGTGAAATATCGTTCGAACCCAGAACTAATTGGTTTTCCTCAATATGCATTGAGGTCAAGTAGTTGATTGGACAACTTAGGGTAAAGCATTGTTTCAGTTTAGACCGCGAGAATAGTATCATATCGAAGCAAACTCTAAATACTCTAGATTTGAACTCAAAATAACAAGGTTCAAGGTCAAATTTATTATGTCACGTTAAATTTAGATTTTGCTGCTAACGTATTACAATTTTTTAGATGCCCTTGAATACTATTGAAATTCTGCACAATATTGAATCGATCAAGATGTATAAAATATTAAATAAACATCTTACACGTCTTTCATTTTAATCTTATTCAACAGTATCACATTTAGCTTATAAAAATGTGCCCTTAGTAGATAAAGGGCCTGTTTGGGAGCAATATTTTCCTCCAAAAAATTAATTTTTTAACCGTTATTTCTCTATTTCAGCCGTCATATTTGACATCTTCTCTTACGGGTGGATCCCACTTTTCTTCTAACGGTAAAAAAATTAATTCTCAAAATCACTCATAAACAGGCTCAAAATTTCGAAAGGAAAGACCGAATTCGAACAGGAACTGCGATGGGGTCCCACCTTGTGGTATTGTGGCAAATAAGTCCTCCATAGACCATAGTTTTTAACGGACATTTTAAATCCTCGCGACCCTTTATCACAATTCAATCAAACGGCTATTCCTTTTTCTCCTACCTTGCTCTTCAACTTTCAAATTTCCGACACTACAACGGTCATAAAAGCAACAATTTTAAATCTCTAAACCCTCTTTCTAATTACAAAACTAGCCGTTACCAATCTCTCAAGAAATCCACATTCATTATTTTCATCAAATCAGTTTCAAAATCTTCGCACAATCATTTCTGCTTCCGGATTTTCTTTCGTTTCACTAGAAGATTTTCTTCTCTGGTCATTGTGTAGATTAGAATTTCTGTTCATCAATGGCGGCTTATTCGAACAGATCTCCTTCTCCACTTACCACCAGACCCGGTAATCCAAATCCCAAAATTTCTGAATCTAATACCGGACCCAGAAGGAGCTTCACTGGAAACCCTAATTCTCGACCATCTGTTCACACGAATCCGAAAATCCTTTATCCCAGTACCCCTGCCAATAGCCCTTCAGGTTCGTTGGTTTACTTATGAGATATTTTTTAGGAATTTTGTGATTTTTGTTATTGATTTGTGATTATAAAATTTCAGATTTTGCAAGAAGACGCTCAGTGGGGAAAGAAGGTATCGTTGCTTCGAAAGATTGTGATGAAAAAGAGAATGATGATCACAACTTTAAAGCAGCAAAAATCCGGCAGGCAGGTTCGGGTTCCAAGAATTTCATGTCTCCAACGATTTCTGCGGCCTCCAAGTTCACTCCATCCCCAAGAAAGAAAGTTGTGGTGGAGAGAAACGACCCAGTTCGGACTTCAATTTCGCTCTCTGATGGAAAAGCCGTGTTTTTATCTGCGAATTCTGAAGATTCCGAGCCAAAATCTGATATGGATTCAAATTTGAACAACGTTCTGGTAAGTTCTCTTGACTCAAAAATTTCTGATACGGCAGAGAGAGAGGCTGTTGTTGAAGGTCCTCCAGTTTCCAAGCCCTCGAAGAGAGTGTCATTTTTAGAGGTACCTTCAGATTCTGAGAATACATTTGAATCAATGTCGGATACAGTAATTATAGATTCTGATTGTTTTAATGAGAATAAGAATTCTTGTTCATCTGGACCCCCTGTTATAGCTCCGCTTGATGCTGATCCTTCTCTGCCTCCTTATGACCCTAAAACCAATTACATCTCTCCAAGGCCTCAGTTTCTTCACTATAAACCAAATCCACGAATAAAAACTCTTTTGAACAAGGGAAAGGGGATCGATTCAGATGAATTTAAGGAGTTAGAAGATAGTTTTATGTCAGAAATTATATCTGGAAGCAATTCAGACTCCGAAGGCACAGAAGAGTCTCCGCAGAATGAAGAATCAGAGGATACTTCTTCAATCAAAATGGTGTTGGGAGTAGATGAAAACGAAGAAGATAAGGAGCTGGAAGTAAATGAAAAAGAAGAAGAGACTCATGCCTCTGATTCATTATTACCAATCAGTACAACTGTTCCAGATGTAATTTCTGAGGAGAATTTTGAGGCAGAAAGGGATGAGAAATCATGGGTTTTCCCTAGATTGAAATGTTTTTCTTTGCTTTTGATGTTCTTGATTGCATGTGTATGTGTATCAGTGTTGGTTACTGATTTGCCAGTCACTCGTATGTCTAGGCTTAAAGATTTGAGCTTGACTAATCTTTATCACCAATCAAGAGCTGCTGCTTTTACGAAAGTGAATTTGGATGGATTCGTCAGAAATGTTAATCAGTATTCAGTCAATTCTCTGTCCTATACGTCTAAACTGATTTCTGATTTTGGTAGAGAAAATAAATTGGGAACTTTGCAGTTCATGAACTTGACTGATTTACAGGATGAGGTAATGCTTGGTGATCACTTTATGATGAACAAGCAGTTCAGCAAAGAATTTGAACAAAATGAGATGGAAGAGAATTTAGACACTGAATTTATGGAATTTGAAGAGGAAATTTCTGCAGAGGTTGATTCTGATGAGATCATTGAGAAGGAAACTAAAGAAGTATCAAATGTATTAGAAGAAAATGAGATGAAAGAGGATTTAGACACCGAATTGCGGGAGGACGAAGTTTCTGCGGAGATTGATATTGATGAGATAATTGAGAAGGAAATTGAAGAAGAATCTGGGAATTTTCCTGCACAGCTTGCAGAATCCGAGCCCGAGAATCAAGAGAACATAAAAAATGAAGGAGATATTGTCTCTTATATTAATGCTGAACAGAATAGTGATGTAATCCCGGAAGATCAGTTGGCCATAGATTCATTGGATCATGAAATTCAAAGTGAAGCCGACATTAAAACTGAGAAAATCGAAGGTGGCAATGATCTCGATTCTTATACACAGGCTGATCTTAAGTTATTGGATCATGAAACTTCATCTAAAATCGATTCTCTTAACACACGTGTTGAGGGTACACAAGTGGTGGAGTCGAAACTTAGTCGAGTATATGGTAAATTTGCTGTTGTGGGAGTTTCTTGCCTAGTTGTTGCAATATTGGCAGCTGCAGCTTTCACCCATAAGAATCAAATAACTTCTACGTCGTCCAACGCTGTCCCTTGTACTGATCCATTTTCAAGTAAGAAGACAATCTCTGGATTAGCTGGTGACGTTTATCAAGAAAAACCTTCCTCTCAGAATTCGTCAACAGAGGATGTTTCATGTCCTTCAGAAATCAGCAGTTTTGTGAAAAACTCGTCATCGTCTCACAGCAAAAGAAGAGTATCAAATGAAGCTCAAAGCCATGACAGGAAGGCAAGAAAATTTTCGAAAAGGGAGTCATTGGCTTCTTCCTCAGAGTATTCATATGGAAGCTTCACCACTTATGAGAGGATCCCAATCAAGCACGTAAGTAGGCTGCTAACCGAACAATAATTATATATACGATTGTTTATATTGACATTTTTTTTTTTTTTTTTAAAGGTTAATGGAGATGAAGAAATTATTACCCCGGTGAGGCGCTCGAGCAGACTCATTAACCAGTACACTTCTCCATGAAAATTTGACACAGTCCTTTGATATTAGAAGGTAGCAGCAGCACATCTCTGATGTGAACCACTCTCAGTTTCTTAGTTTAGTGATTGATTGTAATTTGTAACTGGTGCCAGCAGTATTTATTTATTTTTCATTAATCTAGTTTTTGAAGTGTGTCTTGTGTCTTGTGCTTAAACTTTAATGAATTATTTGTACAACTTTGATTGATTATTGTTCTTAGTTACACTTGCATTAACTTAATATAATTCTTATTCGAGTGATTGAGGCAGACTATGCTATTTTGTCATTAGTTCAATTTGTTCATTGGTTTTCGTTTAGTCTTTCCCCAAGACTAAGCCTATTCGGTTAACGTTCTGATAAAACACCAGACATTTTATAGCGCGAGCCCAAAGAGATGTTGACCAAACGAAAAGAGGATAAAGGCCAAGAAAACACGAAAGGAAACATTTTTGACGAGTATTTGACACCAATGTACAAACTTTTTTAGCCCAACAATGTGCTGGTTAAACAGTGTCCTAAAAAATTAGTTTCAGTATATAATCCAACATCACACTGAATGAAGAATTGGAGTTGATGAAATTCATCCAAAGGAAATGTTATCTCTTCCAAGAGGAATTTTTTGACTATGTACTTATCCTCCAGGAGAGGGACTTGACGTATTACTGTTTATTTATTTTGATACATTTGGTAAATGTATTCTAGCTATTGCACTGGACGAGACTGGACAAAATAACTAACATTTTTTTTAATGCGCCTTTCTTTTTTATTATATCGAGTCTAAATTAACGTGCCAATTGTGTACTTAAAAAAAAACAATTGTTAATTGATTTATCTTTTCTAATGGGCTTTCGACATGGCCATAAAAATTTTTCTTGAATATCTAATTTGATAATGACAACTAAAAATATTACTATCATTTCCCAATTTTGAGCGATGATTAACAAGGAACCACATTTTGTCAACATTAGAACTGCCAGTTGCTTACCAATAATTTGAAACTTGTTATTTGTCCAATATGGTGTGTCCACAATCAATTTTAGAGTTTCATATTTCGACTAACTCTGTCTGAGTCTATCCCCTACTCGTCAACTAACTTGACTATCTACTTATAAAAAATGCTTATTATTCATTTAGAAACTTTACTTTAGATATTAGCTTCACTTACTTTCAGCCCTCGTTTGCCCCCATTAATTTGTATTCATTACATTTTATTTCTCTCTCTTATTTTCAATCACATGATCTTTTATAAAATAATATTACACATAAATCTAAATATTTTTCTTCTTTTTCAACCACTCATTTAAAAAAAATATTATTTCACCCACTAATTTTTTCACAAAATGAGGGCCAAATGGGGCTTAAAGTTATAAAGACTAGGCCTTGTTTGGTGATGATTTTTCAAATCAAAAAATCAATTTTTTGACCGTTAATATAGTCAGTCATCTTTTTTGACATCGTCTTCACTCATAGGTGGGACCTACCTTTCAAGTTAACAGTCCAAAAATTAATTTTCAAAATCAGCATCAAACAAGCTCCAGATAAGAACCGACTTTTTCTAACTTTAATTTGGGCTATAAAATAACGACAAATATTATTTATAAAATAAAAGGGCATGAATTAATTTATTTGTACAATGAATTCGTACAATGAGTTTGATAATGTGTAAAGTATAAAGATCTTAACCATTGAATTCAAGAACATTTTTTCAAATCAATGGGTATGATGCCTGCTAGCTCACACGTTGTCAAATTTATTGTACAAGTAATATAATTGGGATGACATACTTGCATCTCTTGACTTTTTGACTAATTATGCACCCTAAACTTCTAGTGCACTCCAGCCACAAAAGTTACAAAATCTAGCGCGCAAGATAGTAAACAGGAACCTGTCAATTCTAAAATACGCCACAGTTGTGACATCAAATCATTTAACTTCAATTTCTTCGACTATCTCTCCCTCTCTCTCGGAGAAATTCTATTAGTTTCTATAAAGAACTTCCGATTTCAATCCAATAATAGAGTACTGTTTAATTTCGAAATTTAGATAATTCAATGGCTTCTCTTTATTTACTAAAATCCAGTCCTTCTACACCTTCAATTTCATCTCCATCGACTTACCGAAGAAAATTCAGTTGTTTTTGCTGGGAATTCAATTCTAGGTTTCGGTATTCAAGAATTGTGATACATAATAGGAGGTCAAGGGTCTATTGTAAGAATCAAGAGAGTGAAAACAAAAGCAATGGTAAGTAATATTGTTCAAAGTGTTTGTCTATATATGCAGGTGCCTGTATAAATTTGAACCTCTGGACCGGATATGAAGTAAAATTGATTTTGCGGTAACTAGGAATTGTAATTTCTACTTAGATTGCAGATTTTGGAAAAATAGCACAATTGATGTTACATTGAGATGATAAATGATTGGAGACATGCATTCATGTACGGCCTTTTTGCTGTATTATTTATCGTTTGCACGTTGATAGGTGATGAAAATAGTCAAGAGCAAAAAGCTATAGCGAAGGTATTTTTAGCTGGTAGAGGATTAGCTAAATTGCATATGGAAGTTTTGATATACAGAATCTACATTTTCGCGCACAGAAATGCACAAGCATCTGTTCTATCCGTTTTTGAGCTAATTTTAGTTCATGAAATTACATGAGCTATTCATGAAATTTTGTGGAACTGTAATGCATCAAATGAGGGTATTGAAGACCGGAAAATGACAGTGGCTTGCAAGGATTCTTTGCTGCTAGCTGCAAAATCTTATTTACATTGTTATCATATTAAGATATCCTATTAAGGCAGTGTAAATCATAAAATAAATCTTATAATTTCTTACTTGTTCTTTTACCTTTGTATTAGCTAGGTAATAAATCCTGTAATCTAAATTGCTTTGCATATTATAATTCCATTTGTGAGTATAGGCCATTATCTAGCTAGTAGCTAATGTGGGTTCATGAGATTTTATACTGTTGCATCAATTTAGTTCTTTAATTCCTTCATTTGGTTGTTGAATTGATTGGATGTGCCCACATGAAAATGGCTGTTGTGCTTGATTTCAGGTGAAGAACGTCCTGAGTCATTGTTTATGAAAGAATTGAAGAGACGAGGTATGACACCTACTTCATTGCTTGAGGAAAAGAATAAGAGCATTGAGGTCGATGATCAAATGAAGTTCAAAGAAGAAGATCAGAGTTTCTCTCCTCGAAATGCAGTGAGAACAGATTCTGAAATAAACCTATTTAATCAGAGGGAGCAGTCTATGGAACTGAACAGTGAAGGCCTTGAGGTGGTCACATTCTCCCTTTTGTTTTCTTTTAGTTAATTGAATAAGTTCAAAGGTTCTGTAAAAGTACTTTATGGCGTTTTAGGAATTTGGATTTTTTATATGACTTGACCTTCCATTCTATTCCATTTAGTAATTTTGCAATTCTTCAAGTTCCATTTATGCTACACTTTTTTTCCTTTGAGTGATGAGATTGTAGTGTTGCACTATTTCCCACGCTTAACACAAATTAGAATTGTGATTTGGCCATTGAACTATGCTTCCAAACTTGACTTGTTTTTAATTGGAATTAGAGTATTTTTCTCCTCCGGAGTTCCAGCCATGCGAACTCAGTGCTTCAAATCTTGGTATCAAATGATGAAATATATACGATAGCTTTCTTGTGCAATTGATACCAGAAGTTTTATTCTTGTAACGGCATGACCAAACTAGATTGTTAAAATGAAGTTGAATGAAATAGCATGTCTATGAGTAATTATGATCTGTTTAGTTTACATAAGGTCTACGGAATTAGTGAAGGAATTGTAAAGAGACTTTGTGAATTGTTCGACCTTATCAGGACTTACCTCACACAAAGTGTAATATAAACAATGTTTTTCATTGCTTCAGACATATTCTCTGTTTCTTTCTGCTTAATTTCTTGGTCCAACCTTTATTTGTGTCTGTACTATGACTTTGATTTTTATCTTCAATTTTTATGTTAGGGTTTGATTCCACGGGCTAAACTTTTGCTTACCCTTGGGGGAACTTTCTTTTTGGCATTTTGGCCGTTGATTCTCGTAACTGTTGCATCATTTGCTGCTTTGTATCTGGTATGTTCCCTTCATTCAAATACATTTGAGCCATATCTGTTGTCAATTAAAACAGGTTTTATTTATTCCCAGAAACTACGTAGGTGACTTTCATTATGGTAAACATAGTTTATAAGATTATATATAATCAGCAACGAGTAGCTGGAAAAAGAAAAATAATTATTTTGATGCTAGAGGAAAATTTTATCTACCTATGAAAAGTAATGAGATGAAGTGTGGCCAAGTATGGAATCTAGCCAGTTACTCTTACTAAAGGAAAATAATGAATTTGGCTGCACTAGCCTGTTTTCTCTGTCGGGATCATCATAAACTAATTTTTGTATTCTCAATTTCTAACCACTGTGTTTGTACAAAATTTGGAAATTACCTCTAGCAGGTTTGCCCAATTTCTTGATTATTGTAATTGCCAGCATGAATGATAAGTTCTGTGCGTTTTTCTCTGGAGCGAGTTTCTCCATATAATTATCATTGATTAGATTTTTTCTTCTCTTTTATGTGGGTTCATCCTGCAACATGCAATGCGAATTTTCCGTTTTGCCTCTAAGGTGGTTAGCATAAATTATGATTATTGACCAATGACCACTATCCTTTTCTTCACCTGCAGTATTTTGGACCATCTTTTGTTCACAATGGAAGTGAAATTTCTGTCAATTCACCTCAATATAAAGATCCATATGAACTACTTGAAGAAGAAAGGATATATCAAACAGCCCCTAGTCTCAATTAATGGATTGAGCACACTGACCAGTATCTCAAACGGTCAGCTATACATTTCTTTTCTTTTCCTTTTCTTTGATTGCTTTGCTTTGTACGAAAGTAATTTTTTTGGCTTTACTGTATCATCTAATCGAATGGGAAACTGCCTGTCCACTTCTATTATGGACATCTGTTAGATATGTGCATATTAGCTATCTTTTGCTATATTTTAATTTTCCCTGATTACTAAAGAGTGTGTGGTGTGAGAGAGAGAGAGAGAGGAGGGGGGTTAGCTTTGGATATAATCCTGCAAATATTGTAAAGCTTTCCTATTAAAAGTAATTTGAAGAATTCCAATCGAATTCCATAACTTACCAAGAAACACAAAGAAAGTAAAAACGTGTTTTCCAACCAATGAAATATAGACCCTGTTAATTTCTTAAGAACCTGAGCATTAGCCAATTAATACTTCACCATTTCCATATCATATTTGTTCCCCCTCAAATCCATCAAGCTCAATAACTTCAACGTGTAACAAGAAGCGATCAGGCACTATTCTTATGTATCCAATGAGGGAGGGTAGTTACTTTATCATGATACTGATTCCACGATTAGATAAAGAAATCACCAGTTTTATAAGTTCTATTACATATGTAATTCCATACACAATTCATTATGCAGTAAACCAGATATTCTAAGATACTGAATTGAACGGCTTGAATGTTTGAAGTGACTTGATAAGTCCTCTGACTGATCCAGCAGCAGCAAGAAGTGATATAGTGAAGCAAATGAGGCTAAGTATTTGCATCCAGATCCAAGTGAAGGAGAACTTGGGAATCTTTGCTTTTGAAATATACATTTCAATTGGGAAATATACAGTCAATGGCCAGAAAGAGGCAGCTCCAAGAAGTCCCACAAAGTCATTGAAGAATGGGAATAACATGGCCAAAACAGTTGTGAATATCACATAAGTTGTTCTCCATATAAGTCTAAAGAAACTGAAGTTGAAATTGCCACAGAATGGCATGCCAATGGGATATTCTTTAGTAATGAATTTACTTCTTGCCCATTTCTCATTACTCCACTTCTCGATGAAGCCAAATATTGGTTGGCAAAATACCTGCATATGCAGGATTAGAGCAAGCTTATTGATCCCCCGTTTGAGCCATATTATCGTAAAAATGAAAATGAAAAATATAGCCGTTATGGATCCTCACACAAGAGTTAAAAAGTCAAATACGGTAGTTTGATGTGATAGATAACAATCATATTTTTTATTTTAATGAGGAAATAATGGGGTTCAAACAGGGCCTGAATCAAGAAAAGAGTTTTTTAGCAAGGTTCATGCCAAACATTACAATGAATAAAAATTTTAGGTACCTTATCTTCCTTGATAGTAGTATCAAAGTGTTATATGGTTCACCTTCACCTTACGAAACAAGTGGAAAATAGTTTTTAAAATGTCATGGATATTCAAAAGGATGGGAGAAAGTAAACGAATCACCTTAACTTAATTATTTCATTATTAACTAATGTAAAAGCTGATAAATCTTTAAAGAGTGGATCAACTTCTATATTACATCCTCAACATGCTCTCTTGCATGCATAATAGGCTCATGTTTGAGTCTCATTCTATTTTTTGCTCTTTTGTTTTCAACCAAACAATCTTCCATAAAATAATATTACATGTAAATCGAAAATTTTTCCTTCTTTTTCAACCCCTCATTTTTCCAAAAAAAAAAAAAGTTATTCCACCAATTTTCATTTCTAAAAGATGGGGGCTAAATTTTTTTTACTGTGAAGTACGTACTTGTGGTGTAGCAGTTATCGTGCCCGTGCCAAATGCTACCTACAAAGCTGTCGCGTTGTTAACTAACTTAGTCTATGTTTGCCTCATGTTTATAAACATGTTGTATTAACATTCAAACCATTTTATATTCATACATTTCATAGAATTCACAATATTTTAACGTCCCAAATTATTATTACTAGTTGTTATATTTAAATTTAGGATTTAAGTGCACTATTATTAAAGTCTAGTGACTTATTGGTTATTGACTAATAGTATGATGACATAAATGGAGAGTTATTTTGGAAGTTAGATGAAATTATATGTAAAACATATGCCAAATGGCTTTGATTGAAGATTATTTATTGACTACATGCATTATTCACACCACTTTTCAAGCTAATGCAATTGATTTGACAACATGCTTTTTTTACATCAAGTTATAAGCCAAGTGAATTGATTTGATCATATGATTAAAGGTATTGATTTGACCGTTTCCATGACAAATACACCATTTATGCATTGATCATGCCTAACATACTTTTCTATATATGGTCAAGAATCTACACTATAAATAGGAGACAAACCCAACACTAGACTATTCCTTACCAACTATTGACGCACTCTCCCTCTCTACGTCTATCACTTTGTCTCTCCGTCTTTACTATTTCTCGTCCTTCCTATATTAAATATAGTTGTACACTTACATAATCACACGTAAATAATCAATCCCGCACGCGGCTCAAGGATCTCTTTCCAACAAACACTTCTTTTATCATTTTGAATTGTTCAGTGAAAATGTAAGTTGTGCTTTGTGTTTATGGTAGCTAATGTTTATTTGTGTAATATTTTTATGACTATGTTATGTTTTGGTCCATTTTACGTATGTTTTATTCAGAATGGATCGGAGTTTAGTAGTGGTATGCACGAGAATTTAACACCATATAAGTTCGGTCTAATTTCCATGTCTTCCTATGCAAGTTATGAATTCTCCGTAGGAACACAAATATGAATTCATTATCCACATACATTTATTGAGAATTATTCTCACTCAATTATGTCTTTACTTTTATCCACATACATTTATTGAGAATTATTCTCACTCAATTATGTCTTTACTTTTATCCACATACATTTATTGAGAATTATTCTCACTCAATTATGTCTTTACTTTTATCCACATACATTTATTGAGAATTATTCTCACTCAATTATGTCTTTACTTTTATCCACATACATTTATTGAGAATTATTCTCACTCAATTATGTCTTTACTTTTAAATAATTGATAATTCGAGGCGATCGGCACGAAGATGATTTATGGTGGCAAAAATACGTTATTAAACTATTAATATTTCATTTGATTTTAAATATTTTAAATATTTCTCATTTCAAGTTAATTCGTTAAACTCATCATATTATTTGAATTTTGATAAGTGCTTTAATAATTTAAATAATTGTATTAAATACTCTTTAAATTAGTTTTAGTTTATGATTTAGTGGTACAGGTCGTCACAGTACTACACACATATCCGCCACTAATCAATCTATTTATAAACAAAATCATTCTTTTGGGTTTTAATCCTATTTGTCATGATTAAGGCTTAATACATGAAATTTTTATATGCTGGTGTTAATGAGATTTGAACTCAAGAAGTTTTACCTACTTCGGTTCTACATCGAACGACCCTCTCGTTCCAAAACTCAAACTAATGACTCATCTAGTATTAGACTAGGAAGAAGTAAATAAATAATCAAAATTAGAGCTTACTGGAAAATGTTTACCTGGTAAGCTCCAAGTAAATGAACTACAATGCATACATTTGCCAAATCAACAAGCCAAAAAGGATTGTAGAAGCCAAATCCAGTTAGAAAGTTTCCAGGTGCTTTGTTCCCAAATGCAGCATAGCCTCCAATACCACATAGCATATAAAATAGGGTAGAGATCGAGATTGCAATTAAAGTAGCCTTCTTCATCACTGTGTTCTCTGGTTGCCCTGATTTTACTGTATCCTACAATATCAATAAAGAAATACACTGTAATAAAACACGAGGACCGACCTGAATCCAATGTGTTTTCTTCGAAAAAATACAATAAATTATGAATGACTTGTTCGGTAAAATGGATGGTATTAACAATAAAATTTTAAATTTGTAACAGTCCATCTAATCCCGGTCTGAACCATGATTTTCCTAGGAGAAATACATTTTATATTAAAGAAATAGATGAATTTCAATATAGGATCTTTATGCAAAACGAAATGGACTCACCTGTATTTCAATAAGGACATTAGAGAAAGCATAAGCAAATGCAATGTTACCAAAAGCAGAGAATGTGTTCCACATCTTGTCCACACTTGACTGATTCTCTCCAACTGGTATCCCTGTGAGGCCAGTCTCAGCATGTCCATCTCCTCCTATAAAGTAAAATAATGCAAAATACAACATATTCTATAACTAAAAAAATAATAAAATGTGTTAAAAAGGAGAAATTTATCTTTTTGGTTACCTGCAATTTTGGCTATGGAGAGAGCAATGCCAATGGAGGAGTAAGCAAAAGACATAACAGCAGCAACAAGGGAAAGTACTGAAAGCTTGTGAAAATTTGGTATTTGACTAAGAATTATTTGTATCACTCCAAAGAGAATAATGAAATCGTTGTTTTTTTCATGACACCCCTCTTGTTGGCCATGTTTATGAAAGCAATTTGATCTTTTAATGGCACTGTCAAATCATAAGCATAGAGAGAGAGAGAGAGAGAGAGAGAGAGAGAGTCTCAGTATGGTATTATGTGATAATGGAAATGTGTATCTATAGTTTGTGATGCTTACACCATGCTAATGGATGTAGTGATAGAGTATCCAATGGTAACACCAATGAGATTGCTATATTGAGCTATCCCACATAGTTGAATTTTCATGCCTCCTGCACGGAAATGTATAAAAGGACTATGGAGTTAAAATGGGTTGTTTTTTGAGAGCATCTTCAATCATGGTATAAAATAGATCTAAATTGTGACTTAAATTTTTAAAGTCTTCAGAAACTTCTCCAATGGAGAATGCAAAGGAAATGCAAATTACAATTTTCGACAGAAAATTACATTCACAAGAGGCAAAAAATGAATTTAAATTTTTTTATTGGAGCAAAATTTGAATTTAGGTCCACCGGAATATAAATGAGGAAGCAAAAGTGGTTTTGAAAATATCAATTTACACTCAATTTTATACTAACATTAGAGGTGCTCTAACGTCTGGACCTGCCTATTTGACATTTCTAAAAGTGTTATTTATGGCTCTGAATTATTTATGCCATGAATCTCCTCGAGTTTCTAAAATATTTAGAGGTTATTTGACATTATACGATATATTGTGTTATTTAATGAAATTTAATTAACCATTTATTATGAAGATCTCGCTATAAATTACCAATAATCTGGGGAATTTTGAAATATTTTTGTGTTGAAAAGAGAAAAAATAATAATTGATTATAAAAATTACCTAGATTAGATTTAACAACATCCATGTATGTGTAATTTCTTGTGCCATCTGCATTTCTGTAACAGTCTGCAAGAAGTATGGAAGTGAACCAAGTCATGAGAGAGAAGCCCACTAGGGAAATTGGGCCTGCAATCCAACCCAATTGGGCCAAGGCCCATGCCAAAGACAACACACCCGATCCAATCACTGCAGTTATGATATGTGCACTTGTTGTCATCAATGTCCCTTAACCAAAGCACAAATAAAAATTAATAACATCGTAAAATTCGGTTAAAAGTACTTCTAAGCAGTTATACGATATAATAAAAGTTACTTATTTGTGGTTTGAACGAAACCTTTGAGTTTTGATAAATGACAACCTTTTTTGTTACATGTCGATTTTGATCCATCAGCGTATATGAAATCATTTGATTTACTACATAGAATTTTCATTAAAAATTTGGACCTAATCGATTCACTCCCCTAATTATTTCATTCGGGACGTTGATGTGTGTATAGAAAATATACGCACAGAACAAACACAACAGCAGGGTGCGTGAGTGATTTTTTACATTATTTTATTTACTGGGACCCACCTCAATGTGAGATTTCTATAGGTTTTCTCTGAAAACATTTTCTGTACACGTGGAAAAATTCTTTCATTTGACTTATAGAATTGAAAAAATTTGCCGCCAAATTATTTTGCAGTCAACAATAATAGTTTATTTCATTTTACTGAAATAAGTATTTTATACTGATAATATATTCATATAGACCATATAAAAATAAATGCGTTTAAACACCATATTTCGACGCTACTCGTTTTTTGCAGGAATCATAGCTTACATTTTTGTGGTAATCGAAACTCTAAAGTGTTTTAGTCAGCCACTTGAATTTATTTTGCCATGACTATTCTCGAACCCCAATGCTACAAATTAAGTACAGACTAAAGAATAATACTATCTAACATTACTGGAGCTATAACAACATTATATTTGTCATTAAATGATAACTTCAATTAAATGTAAACAATAAATGATTAATCTAAAATTTATCATATCATTTAATATCGTCAAATATCACCTGAATAACTATTCTAACATCACCCATATTAAATAGCACTAGACATACAAAATTGTTATTGTGCTTTTAATTTCTGAAAGAAATTATTTCCCATCTTCAACTCCCTACTCTACTGATCCACCGCCAAAGGGCAAAAACCCAATGCAATGAAAAAAATAAAAATAAAAAGGGGTTTGAATGAAAAATAATAAAATAAACTAATCTTGTGAAGGACTGATCATTTAAAAAAAGGACTGCACTACATGTATAGAATCCCCCTAGATCACACACAATAGGGGGTGAGTGGATATTTTTTGATAACATTTCACGCCATGTGAGTATTCTGGATGAACCCCTCCTCTGTACACGTGGAAAAGCCCAAAAAGATCACAAAACAATTCCATTGTATATAAGAAGTTGAGAAGTTAAAACGCAATAAAACGAGCCTAGATTTCATCATATCACCTCAAAAAATTTGCTTGTTTCGACCTCGATTCATGATGCATTTTATTTAAGAAACATGAAAAATATGGATTAAGATTCAGAAAATGTTTACCAGTTCGTTTTATGCGGCCATCATCATCAAACTTGGAATAACCATGTCCAGCTTCCATGCCAAAGTTGGTTTCTCTCATCATTTCTTCAACCTTTCTATCTGTAAGCGGCTGAATATTCAGAAAGAAACTTCACTCTCTCTCTCACCTGACGGATAAGTATGCTTCTTTTATATATTAACTGCTTCAGATATTTTATGAATCCATTTATTAAGTTCGGTTGTGTAATTATATCATTAGTAATTGTAGGAATCTGGCAAGTGTGAAGTCATAATTTATTTATTTTTTCCCTGGTTTTCTTTTCATTAAAAGAATCAAAATTTGGTGAGAGGGTACATTCTTAGAACAGAAATGCTGTAAATTTTTACAGCCCTCTCATAAAGATGGAACCTGCGATTATAAATTATCTTTTTACTGGTTTTCTTTTCATTAAAAGAATCAAAATTTAGTGAGAGGGTACATTCTTAAAACAGAAATGCTGTAAATTTTTTCAGCCCTCTCACAAAGGTGGGACCTGCGATTATAAATTATTTTTTTTACTGGTTTTCTTTTCTTTAAAAGAATCAAAATTTAGTGAGATGGTACATTCTTAGAACAGAAATGCTGTAAAATTTTACAGATCTCTAATAAACGTGGGGCCACGATTAAAATAATTGCGAGCCCCACTCCCTAACAATGTTTGCATTTGTTTCATAACAACCCCAAATAGATTATAAATTGAGTCTGCTAAATTAAATCTCTGCAGTAAAAAGTGAGTGGGATATTAATTTGGTTTCTCATATTTTAATTTGACCGTTCTCCATGAGATTTTATTTATTTATTTACTTTTTTCTCTCTTTGGGGTAAAATGAGTTTGGAATTGTGATTTTTTTGAGAATGTGTGAGTTAAAAGTAGAAAAAAATTAGGTTTACTTGTAGAATTTTTTATTGTAAGGATGTGTGATTGTAAATGAATTCGATAAAAACAATTTGTAACAATGGTTGTCAAACATGGGCTTAACTATTGGCTATCTTTTGCAACGTGAATTGTTTGTTGTTGTATCTGTGTACTCTGCGACAATATCGAAGCCCGCAACATATGTCTAAATATTACGAAAGGTCTTTGGTAACTTTTTGCCTTTAATCACAGGCCCCACAATTTACATGTCAGAGAGCTATCAAATGTGTTGTATCTGTAGCAATGCTCTTAAAAATTTGATAAAAATCTAAATTAAAGTCAAAAAATAATCTTAAACACATATTTCATGGGATTCGCAATTTTTATCAACTTTTCGATCACTTATTTCATCAATTTTTATCAAATATATTAAAAATTGATTTTTAACAATGTTCATTAAAAGACCTAAAAGGTTTTTCTTGATTCTCTAATTCAAATCGTGTTGAAATTTTAGAAGTTTGAATTCGTTATATAGAAATCACGCATTTCTTCACATTCGATTCTTGGCACTATAAAAGTTTGTTTGGCTCTTTCTCGTTTTAAGTCCAAAATGGGCAAATTGTTATCGATTCATGACATCTAAGAAGAATTATTATCAAATTTTATCTTAATTAAATAATTTAAATCTAATTTGTTTTAGTTCTTATGTCATTCACGAGTCTCAAAGTTTTCATTTATACACCCTTTTTTTTAAATTAATCATCAGGTCTAATAAATTGTCCAAAATTGTAGAGATCTAATTGTAGAGAAATATATTAATTATTATTTTTATTTAAGTGTGTATGAATGACATAGAACATATTTTCCTATGTATTATATACATATTTAATATTTTCAATGGTGGTGTTACATGTACATTGGGGTGTCAATTCCTCACATGAAGGGGGGTGCACCTCGTATCTTATTCCAAGTGGGCCCCCCATCTACGTGAAAGGGATGGACAATGCTTGATTTACAAGTAGCATTATTTGATTTTCAAATATTGAAAAATATTTTTCATGAAAAAAGGGCAATCAAACACTTCAAAAATTGAAATTTGGATGAAAAATGACATTTTTTTTATGCTTTTTGGGTGCTTGATTGACTTTTTTATGTAAAATATTTTTTAAAAGTTGATCACATAATCATATTTTTCTCAAAAACAAGAAAAATATTTTCGTTAAGGACTGATAAATTTTTATTTTTTATG